AGTAGATTTTTATCTAATTTTAATTGATTCGTGTATACATAATGAAGTCGTACGTTGTAGGGAGATGAATTAGTATTATTATTATTATCGTTTATATCGTTAATAATGTGTACATATAAATATCTTTATGGAATTACTCAATAAAGTGAAATAAAAAATTTTATGTGTAAATTCTTGTACATAGTCACGATTAAAAACAAAATAACTAAGAATGATCAACAATTAAAAATAATTTTCCCAGCTAGTTTAGTATAATAATGGATAATAAACGAATATGCGAACAATAAACGTGTTAAAAAGATAGAAAAAAAGAAAAGAAAAGAAAAGAAAAGAAAAGAAAAGAAAAGAAAAGAAAAGAAATAATAAGTGCTAATAGTTTTATCATAAGTGATTTCTTAATTTTACAAAAGATTTTGTTTTTAAGATGGGAGGTTTTGTCGGTAATGTAAAATGTAAGCAATTCTTGATGGGTGCACGAAGAATTCATGTTACCCCAACACCGCAATAAATCACGGAAATAGAATAAAAAATATGCGTGTCGATGTCTGCACATAAATAATGAAACTTTTCCTCTACTACACTGACGAGAAAACAGTCCTTATGTTCCAAAAAATACATGGAGTTAAGAACCACGAAATCGCCAAAAAAAAAAAAGGAGAAAAAAAAGAAGAAGAAGAAGAAGAAGAAGAAGAAGAAGAAGAAGAAGAAGAAGAAGAAGAAGAAGAAGAAGAAGAAGAAGAAGAAGAAGAAGAAGAGGAAGAAGAAGAGAGAAAAATCAGTTCGACACTTTTTCACCTCGCTCTCTCGAAAGTACTGGAGTGTCTTTAATCGTGTAAAAAAGGCCGCCCCATTGCAAATCAACGCTCGTTTTCTCTTTCCGCGAGACATCATTCGCACATACATACGTGACCGCGGACAAAGTCAAGAGATAAGTGAACAAACAACACATAGCGTAAAAATAAGATATAGATAGAGAGATAGATAGATAGATAGAGCGATAGTTAAATATAGAGAGTGTGAGACAGTGTGCGTGTGTAAGAGTTAGAGAGAGAGAGAGAGAGAGAGAGAGAGAGAGAGAGCGAGAGAGTGCGATTGAGCACGAGAAGAAGTGGAGGGGGAAAGGTAGCCCGAAGCGGCTTTCACGCAAGTACTCACGCGACAGCAACGAGTATGTGCACAACTGCGCACTTGATGTTTATAGACGCGCACGCGACATCCATGGCTTTGCACTCCCGCGTCGCACACATAAACGGACACATACAATTATTCCCGTATGCTCACTTGCTTCTCGCGCTTGCATCGAAGCAATGAGAAAAATCTTATTTGTCACACAAAGTGCCGAGTTTTTGTACCCACATGTGCACTATATGTCTTTTCAAATGCATTATACGTATGTTTGTTGACGTTTGTTAATGTCCATTGTTGAATAAGAATATTCAGTTTGCTATGTAACATTGGGCCATCAATTGATGTATCGATCAACTCAATAATAATTCATAAGTTTAGCTTTGCATTATTAGTAAAGTACTTACGAGACGAGCGTGAGTATTAAAATTTGGTAAGCTCTCGTTTAACATTAATCGATCACCTGCCCTATTGAATTTTGCATTCTGTAAAATATACTTTTCACCGATAATTTAACTTTTATAGGCCATTTCATTCCATAAGCATAAAAATCATTAAAAACAAAAATAAAAACAAAAACAAAAAAAAAAAAAACAAAAAAAAAAAGACAAATTGTGCGTTGACATTGTAATGGCTCATTGGCCATATTGTTAAAAAATTAATTTTGTCTATCTGACTATTAGTAACGTTAATTGAGGTTCCCAACTTTCTCACTACTGCTGGTCGCATAAATTGAAGCCGGGGACTTTCAACGTCTTCGTTTCAACAAAGCTGTTTGCCATCTAAAGGGTTATGTAAAGAGGAGACCAAGTAATGATCGGAGAATGCCAAATTTGGTTAATACGGCGGGTGCGGTAGCACATCCCATTCAAAGGGTAACATCTTCTGAGTCAATAAACTTGTTTGAGGCCTGACATTAGCGTAGTGAAATACTACGCCTTTCTGCTAAATGATTCCCGCCTCTTTTCTTTAATGGAGTCGCTCAATTTGTCCAATCGGTGGTGGTTCTTCATTTCCAAAATAATCTTGGGATTCCCCAAGTGTTATTTTGTTAACTTTGCCTCGTCCATCTTACGATTAGATTTAACCTGTATTCTTAATAATTCAACTATTCATTCGATCCTTAGTTGTGATTGATTTTAGATTTAAAATAAATCTCGACTGTCAAGATATTCATGCATTCTCGGGAAAAGGTTTTTCCTAAAAGAGTCGCGTGAGATGAAAATTGTCATTTCACGTGTGCGCGACGAGGGGACGACAGCGAAAAATTGAATTTCGTGAAAATTTCTCTGCTTCAATAAATAATTTTATTTGTATTTTCATTAATTCACAACTGGCCTCCCAGAATTTGGTGCATCTTCAATATTGAAATTGTCAGAATGAAATTTTGCAAACCAGTTTTGGCACTGCTGTTCTGTTAACGTATCTTCTTAATACACTTCGCATAACTTTTTTCTTATTTGAACGGCATTCTTAAAACTTTGGGTAATAAAAAAAGAAAAAAGTGAAATATACAGAAATGCCCTTTTTCATTTTTCATTTTTAATTCGATACTAAAACAAAACAAAACAAAACAAAACAAAAAAAACGATTTACAACAGAATGTTAAAAATGCTTTTATAAATATAATGTTTTAATATCATATGCCGTGTATATTCGACGATATAATTTACAATAATAATGATGTTTGCTGGTTTAAGACAATCTACTAAATGAACAAAGCTGAAAAATGAAATTTTTACCATAATACAATAATCCGAACTTGAGAGAAAGTTTTATGTAAGCGCCCATCAAATGATATAGACAAAAGTATATAGTATGTAAATTGTAAAAGAAATGCTCAAAGAAATTAAACCAAAACAAAAAAAAAAAAAAAAAAAGTATTAGAAACATAAAAGATAAAAGAATTTTATTCTATGAAAAACGACTAAATTGTGTAAGTAAAATTAATATGAATTAATATCATCTGATTAATCGGTTAATCGCTGACTTGCATTTTATGTATATATCTAAATCTAATAAAGAATAGAATTAAAGTATTCGACATTTTTTTTTTGCATATAAATGATCAAAATAAAGTCCATTGCCAACAGGTAATAATTAATAATTCTTATTAATTAGCTTACTTATGTAGGTCAACATATAACTATAATATAGTTTATGATTTATATGGTTTGGTCACTTTAACCTGGCCTACTAAGTCCTATTTATTTGCAAGTAATGAAACGTATTTTGCATTTAAATTGTATCATTATAAAACTGTTTAACATTTCCATGCGATTATTAATGATTATAGAATTCAGAAGTATGTTTGACAGTTCGAAAAATATATATTACATAAAAATGAATTATACAGTGAATAACTGCAAATTAAGATTAATGCGCTTATTGCTAAACTTATTTAATGCAGTGTGGATATTAGATTAATTCGAAATCTGCAGCTTTATTATCTATGAAGATTTGCAATTAATCAATGGCAATATAAAACCGCTAATTAATATCAATAGATTGTAAATTTTGTCGGATTATTATATCGCCAATATTTATATACATATAAATTATTACATAATTAATGTATAATAGAATTTGAAAATAATTTGTTTATTGAAAATTATACATGCGGGTTATTACTTCACAATTATATTCTTTAAATTTTTGGCGCTTATATTTATTTCATTCGGATTTGAACAATAAAATAAAGTCTACAAATATTCACTTTAAAGTTTCACTATCAAGTCTCATGCTTTGAAACTTCAAATAATTTTGTCGCTGTAGTGATTTTTCTTAAAAAATAAAATACTTTGCCGTCTCATTTTTATATATTTTGAAAGAGTAAAAACGTAATATAACGAACAAATAATAAAATATCTTAATTTTATGACGAGGATAGCGAGCGAAAGTCACAACTATAATATAACTTATTCTTTTACGTTCAATTCGTTTTACGAATTTTGTCGAATTTGCCCGAGAATATATAACTATAAAATTGCAAACGCTCAAGCCATAGTTCTTTAAATTTTACGAAGATGAATAACAATTCCATTAACAATTGTACCAAACTTATATTTGAAACTTTTATTACAACCTCGTAAAAAGTGTCTTTATTAAAAATCATTGTGACCCAAGTGATAGCAAGATTGTCGATAAAAAGCATTAAAAAGTCTGACTACATTTTTAGTTTTTCTGCTTTATTTTTACACTAGTTGGAATAATTTTCTGTCACAGTACTTTACACATTTATATAAGATTTTAAGTTTTTTGAATATATTTATTGCCTCTCCCTCCCTTCCCAACTCTCTTTCTCTCACACACACACACTCTCTCTCTCTCTCTCTCTATCTATCTTACTTTTGTTTCCTATCTATATCATGTGCAGTCTCTCCTAGCGTTTCTCTTTACTTTTGACCCCCACTACACAACACAATCGTCGTCTCTTACTTAGCAGTAACCACCAGCCCACCCCACCCTCGAGCTTCACTTGCGCTCAGAGCTCTCTCTATCTGTTGTGCTCTCTCTCTACTCTTCTCACACATATACTTTATCTCACTCTGATTCACGGTTTACTGCTGCAGCAGCGGTGGTACGCTATTTACTCTCAAGCTAAGAGTCCGCGATACTGTACGGGTTCTCCTTCTCCGTCTCCTCTACCTCCTCCTTTTGTACCTCCTTTTTCTCCTCCTTGTCTTCGTCATCTTCCTCCTCTTGCACATCTCGTTGCCCCCTCTCTCGCTCTCTCTCTCTCTCTCTCTCACTCCCTCTCTCACTCCCTCTCTCACTCCCTCTCTCACGCGCACACATTTTCCCCATTATTTTTCTCTATCTCTCTACCCTACCTTGCTCTCTCTCTCTCTATCTCTCTCTTTTCCCGTCACACTCTCGCCATCTCGCGCACGCATTTTCCTTCTCTCCGTTGCGTTTCTACTCCCTCTCTGCGCCGTCGTCATCCGTCCGTCTGTCTCACTGTCTCTCTCTCTGGTTTGCCTGCACGCTCCGTGTCGCCGTTTTCTTCTTCTCTCCCTCTCTCACTCTATCTCGTTCTCTCTCATAGAGAGTACACACTGGTCACAACAGAGCACAGAAGTCAGTGCAGCCGCGGCGAGCAGCTGACGCGCTTTAAAACACACGAGGCCGAAAGAGAGACATGTATTATGTTCCGCGCGCTCCCAGTAGTGACAGACCGTAAGGTAAAGGTAGCAGTGTATTATATTTCGTTTTCGCGCGCCAAACATTATACATTATTAATTTAAAATTTACAAGCCCGCATTACGTATTCGACAATTTGCTGCTCCTGCTCGATTTTATGTCCAGAGAGTTATATATATATATATATATATATATATATATATATATAGAGAGAGAGAGAGAGAGAGAGAGAGAGAAGGAGAGGGAATTTTCACCCTTTACCCTCTTATTTCGCACGATTTATCTATCTGCGATGTCGCGAAATTTTCAAATTTATTTCTATCGCTCGCTATTGTAAAAATATACATACGTATATGCGCACGTACAAATACGCACCTTTATGTATACATGCATACGTAGGAAGGGAAAG